TTACACATCCGATTCGGCTATACTTTTGCCATTCCTTCGTGAGATTTTCGGCGGCTTCCTGACAAGGTCCACAGAAAAAAGTCTTTGGTGCAGGTTTCAGCATTACTTTATTGAGAATTTTACGGTAATGCCACCACTCTTCTCCGTCCCTATTCCAACAGCGCAATGTTCTTTCGTTATCGAAATTATTTTATGACAAAATGAGTTATTTCGCTGAGAAGAAGAGAATTCAGATGAACGAAAAATGTTTTGATTATGTTAAAAGATTATAAGAAAAATTAAAATTTCTACAAAAGCATCTTATAAAGCAAACGTTTCGGTTACAATCTCATCGCTGATATCTAATTTTATCGGAATTTATAACAATTTATAACAATTCTTTTCTTTAACATACCGGTGGGAGAACATCGTACGTACATGAAGAGCAGACCTCGGTTTTGTGTTCGAATTTCATTATATAACATCCAGGATTCCGGTAAGAAGTGCCGCGGCGAGTTACCCGCAAGATCGGCTAATACCTTACGATATTCAGCTGGCGAATTAACGAAAACACCCTTGATTGGTCCAATTTGATCTCTGAAGACTGGTCCAAATTCTTGGTGTCTATAGTCCACGTATTCATGCAGCTTTTTCGCGCCACCGGACATTGTCAGGGATACTATCGAACCGAGCCAGGGAAGACCTCGTGGCTTGGGTGGTTCCTTCCTCACCGAAGTGCCGAAATCTTGCGTGAACGTTCGCGATAACACGAAGCTCAAGCTTTGGTTAGTGATGTTCCATGAAGCAGCATCGTTATCATTTGATAATAAAAACCGCAAATCGGATCCAAGAATCGTTCCGCGCTTAATAAACGAAATGTTGGAATCATTGCGGAAGTTCATTGACCTCGCGAATCTTCGTAATGTTCTTGGTGTAGTATGCATCTCTTCGGCGACACCAGGTATACAAGTCCGAGAGACGAATGTGCAGCTTCGCTGTCAACGAGAAATCAGATCGTGATCGTATCGAATCTGATACGCATATACCGATTCAGCGCTCCGCGATTCAGCAATTTTTTTTCAAGTCAACGAAATTATTACAAGACAAATAATGTATGCAAACGAAGATAAGCAAGTTTTATAAAAAGAAAAGTAAACGAAAACATCAGTTTAATGTACCACGCGACATGTAATGCCAATGTTTTGAAATACAAGTAAATACAATATTGCTCGCTTAAATGTAATATAACGGTTGAGTTCTTTGTTTTTCGAATGTTAAACAAGGCCTTGTATCTGAAATATGTATTATATAATATCCGAATATCTCACCGATATTTTTTCCCCTTTCAAGCCATCCTAACATAACTCATACGTTGGAAGGCGTGGTATAATCGGGAGATAAAAAGTGCAGTTAAGAAAACAGAATGATATAAATGAAACAATTATGTGCGTGCGCAATCAAATTTATAATTTTGAAATTAATTAAGAAATATGATCAACGTTTCACATTCATAAAATAATCTTCAGTTATAAAAATAAAAATATTTTTCATTCGATACTTAATATATATATAATGCATTATAGGAAATTCGATATGTTAAAACAGATTACGCATTAACAGACAAGCATTAATTTATTATATTTTCCGTTTAATTCGAGTATAGAAAAAAATATTTGCTGTTAACAAAATTAAAAATCTAATCAATTAAAAATATGTGATTTTCATATTAAAATTATTTTTTTAAAATAAATATTATGATAATGACGTCAAAGTTTAAATTTAGACAGCTAATAACATATTTTCTTTTTTAATTTATGATTTAATCTATGATTGGAATTTTATCTTTTATACTCTCAATTGAAATTGCATAATCTGTAAAACTATTTTTGCTATTTTTAATACAATAATACATACAACAAATATGAACATCTCTCAAAAAGAGATAGAAATGAACTCTTTCACTTGAGCGAGTGATTGCGTCGACGGACCAAATCTCAAAGTGCAACGTTAATGATAATACATTATCCTTTAATCCAATGTTTTTCAAACATACATGTAATTTTAGTTGATATAATTTCAATTCGGTAATTTTGATTTTAAACAATTAAGTTTTGCTTCGTCTTTAAGTTATACTGTGACTTTATTCAATTTATAATCAATCTTTCTTCCATCGTGATATATTTAATTCACGATCGATTTAACTACATTTAATTAAATTTTACTTACAGCAGCAAGCTAAATTTAGTTCGTCCGCGATGAAAAAAAAAATTAAAGTGGTTCGAACCGGTTAGCAGTTCAAAAAGATCGTTATATATATATAAGGAAATATCCTTTAATAACACATAATAATAAATGTATACACACCGATATTTGATTTTAATTAATTCCTTTGCTTCTGTCGTTATATTATATCGCAATTATCGAGCAATTGCACTTCATCTCAAGATGTTGTATTTGAAAACTGAGACTGGCGTGACTTCTTCGTTCTCCTCCTTCGTTATACTCAGTGTCTGAAGACTCGAGCTCCGTATAAACTCGCGTACGTGCCAGCCTAACAAACTATGCTCGATTCTCAGGGGTCAAACTGTCGAACTCGCTTGGCGAGCATCTCGATCCTCACTATCGCGCATGCGGCCTCCTGGTTGCCGGTCGCTGACAAACCGGCCGGAAGCGGTGCCGACCGGAAGCGGAGCGTAGTCGAGCAGTTCGAAATGACCTTCTGCCTTCCATGCGACTGAATTCGCGACAGGCTTGCAGCAGGAGATCGGGTACCGTTATCTGGAACTGCTCCGCCATTCTATCCTTCTCGTCTTGAATTAGAGACGCGGTCAAATCCGCTTCCCAGGTTTCTATATAAGGTAATTAATTATCATTAATACGCTAAGCGCGCGCTTTTTTATAAAGAAATTATTCGCGCTCAGCATCAGCCCGCGCGTTTAAAATTCCTTACGTTTCTTAAAGGATAATAAAGCAACCAGATCAAGTATCGATCGATCATATAGATAACTTTTTCCCTAGAATAAAAACGTAAAAAATAAAAATTTTTTATTTACTTTTCAGGTTTTCGAAAAATCTATTCCAAACAATTCTATAATACGTATCTAGATATGTTTAAAGCGTCTCACTTTCCATGCGGGGAAAAGAAAAAAAAGAGAATTATTCTCTCTGAGAAACTTTAAATCGCTTTACAGGCTATACTACCTATAAATAAGACGCAGATATCTGAATGTCAAAGTAGCTGAGACGGTCTGTCGAGAGCACAGAGAAAGACACTTCGATTACATCCCAAGATATGCTATCCCGAGTTTATTCAAAAATACATCAACTACGTGGAGTTTTATGTCGCGTTTATACATTCCTGGGTCCTTCGAGATTTCGGATGCATCTGATATATACTTGATAAACAAGATCCGCTCTCCTCCTTTTTCTCCGCTTCATCCTCTTCTATTTTGCTTCTAAAAAATAAATAGAAATGAGAGTCGTGACACATTCATAGCCCGATAACATTAAGTAATTGTCATTCATGGCCCGAATTCATCAAGTAATTGTCATTTCAGGCAATTTTAATACCCTTTTTGTAGAAAGATTCGAGTTAAAAGTCTCTTGCGCTCTGAAACGTCATGGAATTTTAAATTCCATTCGTTTCTTCCATTCTCTTTTAATTGTTTTTTTTTCAATTTTATCTGTTTCGAAACTTTAGGTGACTAACTTTAGTGACTTAATAATTATATCTGTTATATTATTATCTGCCAATGTACTTTAACTTTAATCTCGGTTTTTTTATCTCGATAAAATTAATTTTTTATCTTTTTCTAATTACAAGGCCCAGTTTCTATCAACATAAGATGAACTTCAATTTCAGTTTAACGTATGTTCTTTACTTTTTTCTAATTCTAAGAATTAAAATTAGAAAAAATAAAATGTAAGTCAAATCGAGATCTGCAATCAAGATTAAAATTAATTTTACATTGACAGAATCGATTCTTAAAAAGAAACAAATATTAACTACTTTCTATACACGATGACATGCCTTTATTGCGATATGATCGTTTATGTCCCGGATTAATTTTCATCACGTTTATAATAAGTATACAAAAATTATTAAAGATTCTTATGATAAATATGCAGTATAATGTATATCATAACTTTTTATTCTTTTTGTGACATCAAAAATTTGAAATTAAAAAACGGGACTTGAGCAACAATTCCTTCTCTGAATATATTCTACGATTCTACGTGTAAAAATATATAATTAAATTTTTTTAATTTCGAAAAAAATCGAAGATGGGGGAGCATTGCATATTTACTATTCTTACATATACTTTAACATTTTTTAGAAAACATTTATAATGTTGTACATTTAAAAAAAAAGATAAAGACTCACTATGTAATTAATTTATCCTAATTAATTAATTTATTAATTAATTTATGTTTCTATAAGTATTCCAAAAGAAAGAAATTCGCAGGATACGAATGTGTATTAACGGTTAAAATGCAATAAATGCAGAATGGAACGAAAATAGAGAAGGAAAGAGTTGGACAAGATAAAAAAAAAACGGACGCGCCATGGGTGCGACCAACCTGTTTGTCTCGCGTTAATAACGATTACTTTAACGATCGCTATTTTAACATACTAATCAAGTGCCTAATATTACAGTTGCGTGTTATTAAAGATTGAAGCAACGTATTTCACGCTTGATCGATCTCACGATTCGCTTTCTTCACCGAGCTTCCGCACTTTTTCCCAACAATCGTTTTCCAGCGGGAGGAAATTGTGATTCAAAGCCAAGTTCACGGAGTATCGATATTTCCCGTCTCGATCGAAGTATCGATATCGTCCGCGACGGGCGCGAATTGCGCGACCTCTTCCCCATCTTTTGGTCCGTTTGTGGCCCGTTTTGGAGGCTCGGTAATTGTTGGCGATCCAAGTAATCTTCGCATTCTTCGCGCGCGTTTAGCGGCGCGCGGTGCGACACTTTTGGACGTGTTGCTGGTTTTCGCACCGGCACTGTGTTATCGCGTTATTATCAGTAACGACGTATAGCTCGATCTATCCATCAGATATCGGTTGCTTTCGTCTTCTCGCTCCGAGTTGTTCCGCGGTGAGTTTGACTGGCATTCCGTCCGCCAGTAGCAACTCGTAGATTGACGTAGACACTCGTAGGAGTCATAGGTAACCGAGGAACGTCGTCATCGTCGTCGTCGACCCGTGGAGTTGCACTGTGCTGCACTCTACTGCACCCTCTTTTTTTCTTTCTCTGACGCGCATTCACCGTTCACCGCGTGTCCTGGGACTCCTGGAGTGCAAAAAGTGCGAGCGAATCGCAAATCACTGAAAAAAAGAGAGTCCTCTCCTGAGAAGCTTCTTGGACTATATGATTACTGAGCTGCCATTTAGCGGCTAAAATTGGCGAATTGAAGAAGAAGAGAGAGAGATCGGACAAATCCACCTGGTCTCCCCAAGATCTCTCTTTCGGAAATTCATATAAGCCTTTTAAGAAGATCTCCCTACATCCTGCGATCCCGACGAACGTCATCAGTACCCTGAGACCGTATCTCTTTCGCTCGACACGATGGATATCGACGCCGACACCTGTCTCAAGGAATGGAACGATTTGGTGCAAGACTACAAGGAACTCGAGGTGAGAATCCTTCGTCGTCATCGTTGCGTGTTCAGATTCCCATCTAGATGCTCCCCAGGTGTCATGTCATTCTTATCTAATGTACGATAAACAAGGATGGAATGATACCTGGATGACACTCTAATGGGAATCTGAACTCAGCTGACGAGGTTAGGTCTCATCTCCTCGTTATTCGCGGAACACGCCAACCCGCACGACGGAAGGAAGACGAAAACAAAATTACGGTTTTGGTAAACGTTATGTCGTGTGACCTTGACAATAAATTGATCACGCGCGAGCAACTTGTGTTATTTTTTTTTAATAACGCTTTGATTAATAATTCTGCATTTTAATAATGCGAATGATGCTGCAGAATTTCATTTTAAAATGCAAGTATTATTGCGCACACTCGCGATTATTTTCTAGATTATTCCAGTAACTCGCAATGTTAATAGAGCTAAAAGAAAAATAAAGTATGATTTTTATGCTTATATGATGTAAATGTATCTAATTTGCATATAAATAATACAAAAAAAATTTAAATATAAATAATACAAAAAACACATAAAGTAATAAATATGTAACACAGTGATCGTTTCATTTTTGTTTAACAAATAACATTGACAAACGACAAGGATGTAATGATTCACTGTGTCATCTATATAGGCCTCTTCTTTTTAGCTGAACTTTTTTTCTCCAACAAGAAGAGAAAAGGAAGAAAAATGAATCGTGCAAGAACTTTAGCTAAAACGAACAAACCTAATATATTGTACATTGTTGGAAAACATCCATGAAGAATAATAAAAATGGACAAATGATCATTATCAATTAATCAAAATTAATTAGTTATGAATCATGTTTATGACCTTCGATCATTATTTATTCACTGATAAGCAAAATATTAGAAGATTCCTTTCCATTTAATAACCCAAATTGATACAAGTATCTTTCTATCTTTTTTAATATTCAATGAATAACAAAGATAAAATAATACTTGTATTGTCAAATGGAAGGCATCTATTAATTGTTGTTGTATTCTAAAGATATCTTATTTACTTGCAGGCACTAAATAGGGAATATATTTTGAAATTAGAAGAAATTGGCGAGTTGCAAGCAAAATGCGTCAAAGGTATCTCTCATCAGAAATATCGAATGGGTGTAATATCCAAGTCCTTAAAACAGTAAGTCCACCCAATAAACGAGAATGGATTGAAATGAATTGAAATGGATTCAAATTTTCAGAAATATTGATTGACGAATGTTAAAATGAATGCTTTTTAATCCTGAATATATTTTTCATTTATAGGAATTGCATGGAGCATATCTGTGTGCCTTTCAATCTAAAAATAATATTAGCTTTTTCTGTGTATTGTGAATACTGTTCGATTTTGAATTGGAAATGCAGTTTTTCAATCCAATTGCATCCAATTGAATCTAATCGAATCCAATTAAATCCAAAAAAAGTATTCGCTATTTATATATATAAAATACGTATTCGGATAGAAAAAAATTTCAATCCATTTTAATCCATTCTCGTTTGCTGGGCAGCCTGTAAATTTTTTTTTAAAAGAATAATCGATAACTTTTAATTATATTAATTAATATTTTTATTTATTAAATATTTAGAAAGATATATCGATAATATTTGGAATATCTGCAATTATTATTTAAATTAAGGTATTATATATATGATAATTTATATGATGTGTTTATCTATTTCTAGGCTAAATACAAAAGAAACACAAGAAGAATTGCAAAAATCTATGATGAGGAGAGAACAGCAGCTCAGGGAGATTGAGCAAACGTTACCTAAATCAAACGGCATTTACTTACAAATTATTCTAGGCAGTGTTAATGTCTCCATATTAAATAAAAGTGACAAGTATGTTACTGTTAAGAATCATATCTTTATCTAGAGTAATTTCATAATAATTGCTTTCAGATTCAAATATAAAGATGAATATGAGAAATTCAAATTAGTGCTGTCAGTAATTGGATTTGTATTATCTGTATTAAATCTATTTACCAATATAAGGTGAGATATTATCCATATAATTTATTATAATCAATGTTGCGTTTTCTATTTTAAATTATATATTACAATAAGACATTACATTTTTATTATTATATTATATTACTAAATTTATTATTTATGTATATTTATTTATTTATAATCTATTGTGTTTTATTTTATGTTTCAGAACCTTAGAACTTAGTTTTATGTTTCTTCTCGTTTGGTACTATTGTACATTAACGATAAGAGAAAGTATACTCAAGGTAAATGGATCAAGAATTAAAGGATGGTGGAGATTCCATCATTTTCTCTCAACAGTGATATCCGGTGTTCTACTAGTCTGGCCAAATACTGGACCGTGGTATCAGTTTCGTAACCAATTCATGTGGTTCAATGTGTATATCAGTGAGTATTGCATAATTTCTAACAAAATGTTCTATAAAAATCTAATAGTATAAAAATAATAAAGATAAATAAAGATAAAATAGCTCATATCTAGAATTGAAATATAACTAATAACACTATATTTTATTTTCAACTATGTATAATAACGAAACTTTTAACTAATATTTTTCAGGTGTAGTTCAGTATTTGCAATTTCGGTACCAACGTGGCGTTTTGTATCGGTTAAAAGCACTAGGAGAAAGGGACAATATGGACATTACCATCGAGGGATTTCATTCGTGGATGTGGCGCGGTCTCTCATTTCTGCTGCCGTTTCTCTTCGCTGGTTATTTGTTTCAACTTTATAACGCGTATACGTTATATGAACTAGCATACCATTTGGAGGCGACATGGCACGTACCAGTGCTTAGCGCCATGTTCCTCGTACTATTTCTGGGTAATACTACCACCACCATCATGGTAATCCCACAGAAACTCGTTAAGGATCGCGTTAAGGATCAACTGTTCACTTTTAAACCCGATCGCAGGAAAGAGGGAAGAACACGAGATAAAGACAATAAAGATGAAAAAAGTGAGTGAAGGAAGAATTTCAAGCTGATGAAAAGTTCGACTTAATTATATGGAAAATAAATTGGAGAAAAAATTACAAAGACAAGATGAATATGCTATAAAATGGTGTTGGTGTTGGCTCTAAAATATAACGAACTTTGTTGCGTTTAGCAATGGAAATAATACACATATACACATACACGCATACATGATGTGAGTGACTTTGATCACAAATAAAGAAGTTTCTGCGTATTTTTAATTACTTTACTCTTGGATAATCCATTGTCAAATGTTCTCGAGAACATTCTTTATACTTTTTGACCGTCCTGAAATAAACTTGTCTCTAATTCCAACAATAAGCTACTCAACGAATATTTGACGAATTAATTTTTAAATGAGAAAATGTATTTTAAAAATATTATTTTTAATATTATTTTCATATATTTCAAAACTAAAAACCTCCACAGACAGGAATTATGCAAATCTATTTGAAATTAAATAATTAACATATACTAATTATTATGTGTGTGTGTATATATATATATATATATGTATGCATGTGTATATACATATATATATAATATGTATGTTCATATATGACAATTAATTGAATAAATTAATCGAAATTAATTAAAATTAACGTGATTTTTTTTAAATTTTATTTTCTTCTGAAAAATATTCATTATTTAGAATTTCCAATTAAGCATCATTTGACGTCACAATACTTTTAATTGAAGAAAAATCAATTCCAGATTCACATCACAATTTGTTCTGTTCCATTTCGGAATCTACATATGATATACTCACTTGGATTACTCCAAATATACACATTTATTTTTAATTGAATTACTAACTCGATATTATGGTTCTATCATGACACGCACGACGCACAAATATTAACCCAAAAACAAACCATGTTCGGTAAGAAGTGAGTTGATCTTTATTTGCGGGTAATTTATGTGTGTGTGTATAGTGAGTGAGCGAGCGAGTGAGTGAGTGAGTGAGTGAGTGAGTGAGTGAGTGAGAGAGAGAGAGAGTGTACACATATATATGTACACAAATACACACAAATGCATATGTACAGACTGTTTTCTTAAAATAAAGTACTAGCGAAATTAAGAAAAATTATGCTCATATTTGACAAAATATTCTATACACACATACATATGCAACTAAGTTACTCTACATACAGATATACATGAATATACATATACATATATGATATCACGTTTATTTCGTACGAGATATCGCGCAAAGTGCACCGAAGACGAATCTTGTATAGTATAATTATGACATATTTTGCTCCAAATGTATTTATTGAAATGTATTTACTCATGTGTAAATAAACGCATACCGAGCCGCCTAATCCTACAACGATAATCCGTAGTTAAAATTACTTGGACACTGAGTTGCTAATCCGAATTTTCTTTAACAAGTTTCTCTTTCTTTTAACACTTCTATTCCATATTATATCACACGTGAAAATGCATGTCTTGTCAAACATCGTAAATGATATTTTACTGCGAATAACATAATGAATTAATGTAAAACGTACACAAATTGTGTATTATGTGCATTTTATTATATAATAATTAATGGATATTTTTGAGACAAATTAAGTAGGAGCGAAAGTGATCCATGCATATCAAGTGAGTTGATTTTATTGAAAAATTCTTATTTTGCTACTTCCTTTTTCTTTATAATTTTAGATATGATCTTGACTTTATCTAAAAAAAATTCAAAGATGCTATTTTTCTATCAAATGATAAAAATACTTGATGGGTGAATCAATACACTGTTCATCAACTTCTAGATCCACCAAGTTCAAAGCGCAGATACTAGCTGGAGTGAACACAAACGCACAGCAAAGGAAGAAGAGAGAGAATTAGCGTACGTGCAGATAGAATATAAATCAATGAAAAGAATTGACTAGAACTGACAACTATAGCTACGCCACTGTCTGAAAAAGCAATAGTTTAGTCATCGCAATCTACGACGCTTAGGTAAGCACAACCAGTCTTTATCGTACGTTCTCCACGAATGTACACGTCGCGCAAACTTTGCACATCCTATTACATCCTACTGTCTATACATTAAAGTGAATAGGTGCGCATTGAGGAGTCAAGATGCCGGTAAAGATCAATTGGCCTATGTTGATGGCAACAGTCTGCCCTAACATTGGCGGTTGGATCGACAGCTACTTCGTTAAAAAAAATATCAGCTGGTACGAGGTGAGATGACATCACATGCAAGTGTGTCGGTGAAATTACGTCATTGTCGCGATAAATTAAACAAAGCGTTATTTATTTGGAAGAATATTTCGTTGCTATGCGCTTTTTCTGCAGAATCTAAATATAAACTCGCAGAAATGTTTCTAGGTGAAAGTCATTTGATATGTGCATGAATCGATATAATAGTAACTGGCGAAATGTAAATATGATACCTGGATCATTCGATCCACTTTGTTGCAATATAAAAAATTGTATCTCGTATCTTGATTTATCTTCATTAAATCTTAATAACACATAGGAATTATACAATATTACTATTTATAATTACTTGCAATTATATTTCTTTATAATCTGATATTTATAATAGTTTACAATTATAATTTTATGGTTATATATAATAAATATATATGAATTATTTATATTTAGAAATATTATAACTGTACGTATTTATCTAAACTTCCGTAACTATATATTATATTATCTATAATCATGATTATGATAGCTTAAAATTGTGTAATATTTATTATATTTTTACAATTATTCGTAACATACGCGATACATAAATGCAAATTCCAACAAACGGACTCAGACAAGATACTTGTATTGTACTCATAATCAATAATAATTATAGCAAATAATTCCGCGAATCTATAACCAATTCGGTTACTTTTTTTAAGAATTTATAGTCGTCATAAAATCTCTCGTTCAGAAAAGTAATACATAAATAATATACCTTTTTTCACGGATGTGTTTTTCAATTATTTCGCAACGTCTTCCTTCTCTACGTAATCTTCATATGTACAGTCTTTCAAAAAAAGAACTACAAAACTTTTCAGGTTTACATCCATCTATAAATAAAGAAAGGATTTTATGTAATAAATATACAGAATCTATATAGAATTTGTCTTATCGGCAATTTAAATGTCAAACTTATTTAATAGGTTACTCAATATAATAAACGAAGATGAAATGATTATGAATATCGATCGCTTAAATGATGAGCATTTAAATAATTTAAAGAGATTTATGAATGCTCGCGTTCAAAAGAAGTCAGTGTTTAGGAGGCCTACACACATTTTCCCTAATAATAACCATAAGATGTACCGTAAAAATTAACCAATCACAGTCAAGAATTGTCAAAAACTTTCAGCTTTGATTGACTAATTCTTATGGTACATCGTACGATTACTGTTATGCTTTACATTATTATATTTTTAGATTTAGAATCTTATCTCAACGAAAAAAACTTCCAATAGTTGCAAAATAAATATTCTGCTGAACACGATCATTCACTACAAAAAATTCAGTAATTATGTATAACTTAGTACAACTATATATCTGTAATTATGCTTATGTAACCAGTGATTGAGGGCACAGTCTATGATTCCGTGAGTATCGCTTTATAGGATACGTAAGAAGATAGGTTTTTGCAAATATTCAAGAGAAAATCAGAAATCTTCTTTCGAATATTTATGTTGCAAAGTAAGTGCCGATACGTTATTTCGATATTTTTATTTCGCTTACACAAAATCTCTTTTCGTGTGAAAGAGAAATAGGAGACTTAACTTAAAGAACGACCAAGCAGCACTTCTATCTACCGTCAATGGTAGAAATGCTCAAGTGTGTTTACAATAAATTACACCTTACCGCTAATGATATAATAACACGTAATATATCGTTTTTGTACGTATAGATGTGTCCGCCGCGCTTAATCCGTCACTCTCTTGTTCCAGTCGCTGAAAAAGCCGAAGTACATCCCGCCGAATTGGGTATTCGGACCCGTGTGGACCACCATCTATTGTACAGTGGGTTACTCGTCGTATCTTGTGTGGCGAGACGGGGGTGGCTTCGAGGGGGCGGTCGTACCGCTCAGCGTCTATGGCCTTAATCTCGCCCTCAACTGGTCATGGACGCCGCTATTCTTCGAGACTCATAACATAAAATTGGTATTACATCTGATTACATACACATACACACGCGCGCACGCATACATTAATCGTAAATCTCTGAGATCGTTCGAGTGTTTTTCGCATAATTTTATCGTAATTATAAATTTATTATTAATTAATTTTTTATTGCTACATTATTTATATTGGAAGATATCTAGGTAGATTCAAGATAGATCTTTCCGAGATTCGCATCGCTTAAGATTAATCCTAATTAACACAAATAAGTGACGAAAACCATAGAAGACCATATTTAGTCAAAGCGAATGATTATGCCTAATATTCTTGCGTGACTCTTACAATTTCCAGATCAAGCAAATGGCGCGCCAATTATTTGTCGGTCTTGAAATACAACGGACCTGGGCCCCTATTCTCCCTTTCTTGAAAAGTATCGCATATGAAAAATTAGGAAAATACTATAGTATGTTACATATACTATAGCATTTCTTTAGTTTTTCGTATGCGATACTTTTCAAGAATAGGACCCCTGGGCTCTTGTTTTTGAAAAGTATCACATACAACAAATCTAAGAAAATACTATAATACATTATGTGTACTACAGTATTTGTCTAATATGTGATAGTTTTCAAGAATAGGGACCTTGCTCTTTTTAGCTAAACTTCTTGCAGAATTCACCTTTTCTTTTTTCTTTTCACATTAGAGAGAAAAAGAAAGGAATTAAACTAAAGTTAGAATACGTAATAGCACAAATTAAATTGACAAGCAATTAATAATGTTGATGCTAATGAGGATCTTAAAGAATTATAAAAAATTTATTGCGAAAAATATTCTTTAGTCAGGACTCGAACCTGGACCTCTTTACGTTCCGTATATGACGAGTATCTTACTAATTCTAATTCGTGAATAAATATATGACTAGTGAAAACAGAGAAACTAGAAACTAATTTTTTTTTCATATAATTACGAAGAAAACAGCCTATATTATATTTTTTTCAAATCGACTTGAATTTATATTTTTAGAAGTAAAGATTATATATAATCAATAAAACTTTATAAGAATATCTTTGTATAATACATAAGCTCCATTTTTAAAAATATGCAATAGTTCCTGTTA